GGAGACAGTCTCACCCTGTTGCCCTTGGTAGAGTGCTATGGCGTCACAGTTCACAGCAACCTCAAACTCTTGGGCTTAAGCGAGTCTCTTGCCTCAGCCTCCTAAGTAGCTGGGACTACAGGTGCCCTCTACAATGCCTGGTTATTTTTTTTTTGGTTTGTTGTTGTTGTTGTTACAATCCATTCATGGATCGCTACTTTGATTTAATTTCTGAATGTTTTAATCTCCTTTACAAAAAGAATATATTAATACACCATCCTCATTGGGGAACTGGCACTGTGACCTTAGCGTTTAGTTTTCTAGAGGATGTGATCTAATTTCTTTCTAGCTCATCATTAAAATGGAAATTGTATCAGGACCCATGGGGATATCCAGAGGAAAACTTTATGAGGCTTCGGAAACCTGGCCTTCTTGAAGATAGCTGAACAAGACGGTTCTAAAGAAAGGCTTTTGCAGTCTCGCGAGATTTGTAGACCAGCACTGCAAAGATCACATAGATCAAATAGAAAAAATGTTGATTTTTTTATTCAGTCTGATGGTTCTGTTCATCATTGTGATTGTCATTAAAATGTGGTAAATTGCTCAATGTAATATTTTTGTGTGCTGTTTAGAAAAGAAGGTAATGTGATATTTTTTGCCATCGTTGATAAAAAATGCAAAGTCAAATAAACGGTGTCTTGGTTTGATGTCATAGAATGATGCAAGGAGCGAAAAAAACAAGAAGTGTAGGTACTATTTTCTCCAGAAGAGGTAATGAATGAAGGAATCGTAGCAGAAAGCACAGTTTGTGAGTAAAGTTGTCTGGACTTCAGTTACCAAAAATGCAAAACAAAAGAATTGTTATTGGGGGCTGAAGCTCCGAAACCAGCGGCATCTGCTGATGTGTTGGTTTATTTCACTTTCTTTAAATGAACATTAATCAGAGGAAGTCCCACTTAGACAAGCTTTAGCGAACCCATAGCGGAAACTTAAGTAATTGCAGTCCTGGCACAGGACTAGGACATTTCTAGAGAGTGATTGCCAAACCTCACTTAACCAGATCCAGCCAAGGACCATGTCAACACTTAATCGCTGTTGTTACATAAAATAATCAGCATTTAAAATAGTTTACAGATTTCTTTTGACCAGTTCCTTTCAGAGATTCTTACAGAGAAGAAACTAGATCTGACCTGTTTATTGTTGGCGCTTGTTGAAAACGAGCTTTCTTTCCAAGATAATGCTTCATTTTTGAAGTGTTAAAGCTGTGCTCCCATTAAATTGTGGCAGAAGAAGAGATTAAGGTAATTACCACACTCAGTTCTATGTCTTACAAGCACTTTGTTTTGTCTCTGCAAGAAAATACCATTCCAGTCATTTCCCATGAAATACAGACATTTTACCAACATAATATGCTTTGATTGACGCAGCATTATGCTTTGGGCAGTATTACAAAATCGCTGGCAAGTGCTTTCTGTATTTAAATATTGTAAAAAGAAAATAAGTTATAACTGTTATAAAGCAAAACTTTTGTTGCATTTTTTTAAAATGTTGAAGTCACTTTGTATGTTTCGTCAATGTTTTCGCAGTATTTATTAAAACATACTTTTTTTCCTTCAAATAAAAAAGTAACCATGTCTTTGTCTAAATGTGATCTGTCTTTTATTATCTACTTCCTGATGTAGCTGTTTAGCTTTGCTCCTTAGGAGAGATGATTACAGAGTCTGGCCTAAGATTTCCTGAACTAGTAGGCTTTGGAATTTTTTGACTCTTCACAGTAGTATAGTTTCCCAGGGTAAGATAAATCTGTGTGTATAAAAGTTTTTTATGATGATTTCCATTCACAAGAAGAAAATGGATCATAATTAGATTAGGTGACTTGGTCATACACCCCCCAAAAGGCCTGATATTCTGATGTTCCATAGGATTAGACTGTAGAAAGTAAGGGAATTCACGGAAGCCATGTGATGCAGTCCTAAGTCACCGATTTAATTCTCATGTGACCTTCGTTTGCTTTTCTGTGTCCCAGAGTCTGGAGCCTTGGTCCCTAATGCAGCCATCCACCTTGCAAGGCAAGTTCTGCTTCACAGTAGCCAACTGTGTAGATGGCCCAGAACCCAAAGATTGTAGTTGTGAATGGAAGTAACAAAAAAGCAAAACAAAAATAGTCTTGCTTATGATGGTTGAATCTTTAAATAACGCAGGACGGCTCGGCGCCTGTGGCTCAACCGGCTAAGGCGCCAGCCACGTACACCTGGGGTGGCGGGTTCGAATCCCCAGCCCAGATATGCCAAACAACAATGACGGCTGCAACCAAAAAATAGCCAGGCGTTGCGGTGGGCACCTGTGGTCCCAGCTACTTGGGAGGCAGAGGCAGGAGACTCGCTTGAGCCCAGGAGTTGGAGGTTGCTGTGAGCTCTAATGCCATGGCGCTCTACCCAGGGGGACAGCTTGAGGCTCTGTCTCAAAAAATAAATAAATAAATAAATAAATAACGCAGGACAAGGCAATATAGGCTTCTCCAATGATCTGAAAGATGTAAAGTAAGCAGGGAATAGCTTAAGTTAGAGACAGGCCTGGGTCCCTATAAAACCAGCTGATCCTTAGTCTTCACCTAAAATACACACATAAAAATTTTACACAAATGCCTAAAGATACTCCATTTGGGATTTTAAAACTGTGATTCTACATAGCTAAGTCTCCTCATATAAAAACTGTATCTGCGTGGCCTTGTTTTTTGTTTGTTTGTTTGTTTTCTTAATGGCTTTAGAAATCTTTGAGGTATAGTTACTTGCTTGGACATAATTCTTAAAAACAACAATCAAAGGGAAAACCAAAGGAACAAGCATGAGTGAACGGATGAAAGAGCGTCGATTTTGTGGGCTAGCCTTATTAAAAAAGTTTAGAAGCAAAGAGATTTACTGAAAATGTAACTCACTCTCATTACCACATACCAAAGGAAATAAAAGTACTTTCCAAATCCTTGGTGTTGAGTAACTTCTAAGCATAATGTGTAAGTCAGGCTTGCTAGAAACTCATTTCTCAACAATCACTGGCACAGAAAAAACAATAAAAAGCAGAGGTTCTGCTGACCTCGGCAGTATTTTACAGGTTGTACAGTAATGTTGCCCCTCTGGTCAGTTGTTCTTTTCCAGCAGCTTTAATTTGTTGAAGTGAAAGAAAAAAGTTGGTCCTCAGCTTGGGCATGTGTGCCTTCCATTTCTCCGACTTTCTGCCTTAGCAAACATTTCTTCCAAGCCTTCTGTGAACATTCCTTTCCATTGATTAATGGTCATGATTAATGCCTTTTTAAACAGTAAATTTCAAACTCTGAATAAGAGTTTAACTGTGTCTCTCTCATTCTTATTAATCTTTTCCAGGATTGCTTGCTTAGACGATTGCAGTCTTCTAAGTTATGTGTCTTAAGTGCAAACTTAGAAAGAACCCAGGGACTTATTTTTATTAGAAGGAAATTTTTTTAAATGGCCTCATCCCATAAGACTCCTGAAACTCTTAAAGCTGCCTATCCTCTTTTTGATGGATTATTGGATTGTTTGGACATCACTATTCCGTCTTAAACCTCATTGCTTTTATTTTTGTCATTTTTCCCTTCACCAAGTATTTCCTGAGTGCCTACTGCATGCCCAGCACTTTTCTAGGGTTAGCACATAGTCATGAATAAAATACAAGCTCTGACTCAGGAGGGAGTCAGTCTCAAACAAAGCAGAGTACAGCAAACCTGGTTGTGATATTTACTGATACTAACAGAGTCATAGAAACAGGGTTGGTAGCTATATTCCATTATGCAGCCAGGCACTCCAATGCAATAGTCACATATGGTGCACCACACACACATGTAATGCTATATGATGATGGTGCAAAATTCTGGAGAGCATCCTAATAATTGGGGCCCACTTATGGTGACTGTGATAGAGTAATATGAACAACAAAGTGGCCAGTCATCACTGTGATGTCTGCATAATGAACACAGGTTTTTACAGCTGGTTAGAATTTCAATAGGAGAAAATACTCTTTCATATCTGAGATGAAGACAGGCCCCAAATAGTTATCTGTTCATTATAAAATATGATGGCATTGCTATAGTTTTGTACTTTCTCCTGTGAAATTTCTGCTGAGAATGTTGGAAAAAATCAAAATAGTATTTGAAATAAATGAAATAAAACTCAGTTATAAAAAAATAAAATTAATTCTTAGAAGATAATTTAAAAAAAACAAAGTAAGAACACTTTGGTTGAAGATAGAGAACTCACTATCTAATGTTGAAAATTTATATTTTCTGGTGGTTTAACAAGAGTTTTTGAAAGTATTTTTTGTTGTTTTTTTGGGGGGGTTTTTTGAGACAGAGCATCAAGCTGTCCCCCTGGGTAGAGTGCTGTGGTATCACAGCTCACAGCAACCGCCAACTCCTGGGCTCAAGTGAGTCTCCTGCCTCAGTCTCCCAAGTAGCTGGGACCACAGGCGCCCGCCACAACGCCAGGCTATTTTTGGGTTGCAGCCATCATTGTTGTTTGGTGGGTTTGGGCTGGATTCGAACTCGCCACCTTCGGTGTATGTGGCTGGAGCCTTAGCCACTTGAGCCACAGGCTTGGAGCCAAAGTATTTGTTAACAGTGAATTCTAAGGCTCTTTGTCTCTGTCCCCTGAGAACACAGGAAACAAGTTCTAGTGAACCACAAGATAAAAATTTGCAGAAGTGGCAACGCCTATTCACTCTTTGAGATTTTACTTGTTGATTTTGTTTATTCTGAAGGAAACCATACTACTTCTTCTCCATGAACATGGAAGTACTGATGGTAAGCCTCTATTTTAAAACAATTATATGAAAAAAGACATTCCACAATAAAAAACAAAACTTGAGTCAACATATGGTTAACCCCACTGTCAAAGCAATAGCTAATGCTAAAATTACAAAAATGATATCCTAGGCACTGTTTTAATGGGTCATATAATTCCTATTCCTCACTATAAATACACACAGTAAGTT